CTTGATACAGTTGGCCAGCATTTCGATGCACTGCTGCTGCTCTGCGGGGTCCTCCAAACCATCAGCCTCACACCGGCTTCACAGGGCTGGATTTAGGGTTAGATATTGGGTGTGGGATCGAGGAGGGTTCAATAATGGATGTTGGGTTTTAGTCTTTGTAGGATCAGTATATATAGGGCTTAGGAGGGCTTATTATAGGTTTAGGAGGGTTTTGGGTTTGGGTTTAGAAGAATTTGGGTTTGGATTTTCAGGGGTTAGGGGTTTAGGAGCTGGAGGGTGTAGATGTGTTGGGTTTCGGATTTCGGTTTCGGGTTTCCAGGTTCAATCGAAGAAACACCGGTACCCTGGACCCCAAATTGAATGCCTGCAGCTTCTCAAGTGCTTCCTTCAAGGAAGCACGGTGGAGCTCGAGTTCGTCGTGATAGCCATTGCGCAGAGGTGCGGACCTGGGACACAGGCTAGGATACGGCAGGGGTTGAACAGGGCAACTATATATATATGAGCTAAGTAGCAGGTGAGGGGGCTTTTCAGCAAGCTTCGATTGGATTTCATCGAGCTCTTTGATCTTGTCTTCCACTAGCTTGTTTTTTGAGCGCAGTTGGCTTGCAAATCCACCTTTGCCAGCCTTCCTGAGCTTCTTGAGCTCTTCTTGCTCCTTCTGTAAGCTTTCCGCTGACCCAAGAGATCGCAAGCCAGCTGGCATTGGCAAGGCGGCACTCGAGCTGGATATTGGCAGCGGCCCATTGGACTTCCCAAGGCCCAGGGCACACGGCCTGCATTCTGGGGTCAGGAGGGGTTATTATCCCCAAGGGTCCTAGAGATTCGGTTATGGTGGGGTCATACCTATACAGCCTAAGTACTGCTGCTAAAACTGAACCCCAAACCCTGAACCCTAAACCCTGCAGCCTAAATTCAAAACCCTAAGAACAACCCAGGGCTGATATCCCCAGTCTTGGGAGGCATTGGGGTTTGGGATTGGGGTTTCGGGTTTGGGGGTTGGGATTAAGATTTAGGATATTAGGGTTTTAGGGATTGCACTCTACGAGGTGTGAGGCCAGATGACTTTATTCTAACCAAGAAACAGGATAGCACGGGTTTGCTCCCCATCCAGATCCATATCTGTGGATAGAGTAGCTTCCGACTTCCGGTTGGCACTCTTGGTGATCTTCGCCGACTCAAACACTCGCACCAGCTCCCAATCCTAGCAAGTGCAATTGGGCTACACCTCATAACTATCTATGGATATATTAATAATGCACAGTACTAGTACACACACAATTAATGTATAGTCACATGAGTCCTCCGAGCCAGGAAGGTCCGGATGGGCCATTATGAATGGCAACACATCTGGATCTGGAGCTGCAGACTGGTCGAGCTTTTCCTGGAGGGCCCGCTTTTCGTCTCGAATGAGCTTGGCACTGACTGCCCCCTCCTTCTTCTTCAAATCCATGTAGCGCATATAGCACTCAACCCCTTCCACCAGCTGGCCCTTGCTGGTGACTTGCTTGACCACCAAGTTCGATTCCATCCATCTGCCACCACATCTTAAGTACTCAAGGAACAAGTCATCGAGGGACTTGTCACCTGATGTTTCTAAGGGCCCCTCACACCTGAAGCTAAGCATCAAACCAAACGACCAAGGAGCTGCCGCCGCCGCGCTTGCACTTCGCAATCGCATCGATGACTTCTGGAGGACAGCTCTTGCCTTATTACTAATTAATGACAGTTTTCAGGTTGGTTTAACGGCACTCATATCAGAGGGCTGGACTAGTAAAACATGCTGTCTAGCTTCTTTTGTGGCTCCGATTGAACTTCATGTAGATGTTGTGGGCAATGCGCAAGAGGCGTTCTTCTTCCGTTTCACCGTCCTTGAGGGCTAGAGAAGCCTCCTGCAGCAAGTGGCAGGGGCATCATCAGGAAATGATTTAAACAAGCAAATATAGGGGATGGTCCTAGGTTGAGGGTTGAGGCCGTAGGGTGTACTGCTATAACAACCCGTCTCCTGCAGCTGAAAGCTGTCTGGGCGACGCAGAAGAATGTCCTGGATAAGGCCCTTGTCAAGGGCTGCACCCACCGCACCTTTAATGCCTGATGGCTTCACAAGTGCAACCTCCGCCCCATTTGCCACACCACCCACACCCTCTGGATCTGTAGCCTTGATCTCAGAATTGCCCGAAAGGCCACCCACACCCTCTGCAGCCTTGATCTCAGCATTGCTCAACAGGCCATCCACAGCCTCCGGAGTGCCCGACCCAGGCTCCCCAGTGCTGGCACCCTTCAAATCCTTTGCAGCTCCTGGCACCTGTGAGGACACATCGGCAGGCGGCGGCTCCATGTTTGCATCCTGCCAAGCAGATCTGGGTTTAAGGCTTTGGGGTCATTTATATTAATTAGAGCTAGTTGCAGGAGTTCAGGGTTTAGGGTCAACAGGGGGTCGGGTTTAAGGTAAGCCTAGAAGTGTGCATTGTAGGTAGGTTCTATTGCAACACGGACCTACCAACCTGGGGAGCCTCAGGGCAGGGTTAATATGAAAGGGCACAGGGGTTTGGGGGTTTGGGGGTTTTCGGGTTTTGGAGTATTAGGGTTTTGGGGTTTCTAGGGTTTTAGGGTTTTGGGGTTTTGGGGTTTGGGGGTTTGGGGTTTGGGGTTGTCAGGTATACGTCATTATAGGCCTTGTCGTGCAAGGTTGTAGCCAACAGCTGGGCATCCAGCTCTGCCATCATCTCTTGTTCCAGATCATCCACCTCCATAGGCTGCTCACCATTCTCGTCAATCCTTTCCAAGAGTGCCGGCTGAGGCTTCAGGTTGTCCCAGGCCTTCAAAATCAATACAATCGCTGCATTGATCTTGGCACATACCTCGTCTTCCTTGGCCTGTAGCTTCTCATAGAGCTCCTGTTCCTTTTTCGTGCACCATGCATCCACGGCCTCCCACAGGTGAATTTAGACCTACCCCTAAACCCTAAACCCTAAACCCTAAACCTTTCGACTTAACACTGAATCTAAACCCGGAGACCACAGCGCGAAACCCACTTACACCTCGAACCTAAACCTTATTAGCCAGCTATGCCCAAAATCTTCCCTTGACCCGGGCCTTGAGCTTTTGCGTGTGCACATCCTCGGAAATGTCTCCCTTTGCATGTTGCTGGCTTAGGGCAGTTCGTGTTTTCTCAACTTGTTGATGAACAGCTTCTTGTCCCGATCGCACTGATTCCTCGAGACCATTGAACTCACGGATTCGAGACAGTGCCTCATTCACGCTTTCAACAGCCGGGGCTAGGAAGAGCTTGGTCTCGTGGGGCAAGAGAGCCGTACCCCGAATGGTTTCCCCTGCCATTTCCTCTGCTGCTGCCAAGGACACTTCACGCGTCTCGGAATTGCAGCTGGGACCAAGAACATGACCTGCCCACGTCAGCAAGCTAGAAGCCTCGGCCATCTCGGCCGCATCCATACTTTCATCTGCCCCATGAAACATGCCAAAGTATTTCACACCAAGGGCTGCCACCAAGCTTGGTTTGGGTTCATCCTGCATAGCCTCGCTCAAGTCCTCTCGACTCCATTGCCCCAGGACCATGGTACTCATTGTGTCAGCATGTCGCATACCTGAGTCACACAGACTAGACCTGAGACCTCTGAAGCTACTTCTAATTATATCAAGGACTCCAATTAGGGCCTGAGGGATCTTGGTTTTAGGGTTGAGTTTAGTGTTTACTTGGAACACTTAGGGGTCGAAGGTTTGAGGGCTTAGTAGGTTGAGGGTTGAGACCTAGGTTTTAGGATGTATTGGAGGGGTGAAGCTTCAGGCCACAACATTATGGAATTCTGGACTTTCAGAGGTTGGGAATCAGGCCTCAAGGCAGGGGCACAAATAGACACAGAAGGCTTAAGGTTCATGATGCGGGGTCCACAGGACTAGATGCTAGCCCAACTATGATATTCCAGGGTTCGAGGATCACACTGTTTACCAAGCAAGCTCAGGAACGGGGCTGGGCCGCAACACTGGTCTCTTCATCCGCCTCGACAAGGCACTGAAGGCAACCACACATCACACCCTAAGCCTTGAAGCCCTGAACGCCCAAAACCCAATCCCGAATACCCTACTGCCCTCCGACCCCCCCACCCCTAAACCCTTTCAAACAAATATATAAAAGCTAGCCCACAACCCTAAATTGCCTCATGGAAGAGGGCCTTGGGGCTGTGGCCATGTGGTCTGAGCTTTTTCAGGGCTGGAGATCTGATCGGTGTGCTCTGCGGTGTGGTTCTGACCACAACACCTGCCTTGTCAGGGGTCTGTGTGGGCCTGGTGCTCTGCTTGCAAGGTGTGCCATGTGTGCTGGACAGCTTGGTAGGATCGACTGGCGCCTGCCCTTGTGTACTAGCATCGGAGAGTGGATCGACTGGTGCCTGCGTTTGTGTACTGCCTACAGCATCACGCAGCTTGGGTGGATCGACTGGTGCCTGCATTTGTGTACTGCCTACAGCATCACACAGCTCGGGTGGATCGACTGGCGCCTGCTCTTGTGTACTGTCTACAGCATCACACAGCTTGGGTGGATCGACTGGTGCCTGCTCTTGTGTACTGTCTACAGCATCGGATGGCTTGGGCGGATCGACTGGTGTCTGCAATTGTGTACTGTCTACAGCATCGGATGGCTCGGGTGGATCGAGTGGTGTCTGCTCCTGCTGTGTACTGTCTATAGCACCGGATGGCTTAGGCTTCACGGGCGTCGTAGATGGTGGGGGCATCTCTGTGCACACAGGGGGCATGTCTACATCACAGTGCTGATCAAGAGGCATCTCTGTCTGCGTGGGGGCTGTCTCGGCTGCTGGGGGTCCCATGTCCACATCACCCTGCTCATGAGCAGGTGTCTCCACAGCCGGGGGCATCTCTGCATCAGCACAGGCAGTGAGGTTGGCTTGCTGCATGTCGGCATCCACCTGGGTATCTGCTGTTGCAGGGTCAACAGGTGATGCTGTGATGACTGTGTCCACAACAGGCTGCACCGGCAAGGCTGCAGCGACCTTGTGTCCAGTGGCTGGTGCGACATGTGGCTGCTCTGCCTTCACCTCTTGCTTGGGCATTCGAAGCTTCAGCACCGTTTGTGGTGGTGGAGTCGAACCTGGGATGTGAACACCCACAAAAAAAAATCCGGCCATTTATAATAGAGTAAGGTTTGAATGTTATTACATGATCACTATTATTCAGAGGAGTTGCTCTTTGCGGCCTTGGGTGGCATGCTGGATGCCAGCGCTGGGGGAGGGCTCACAGTAGGCTTCTTGGCAGGAGGGGCCCCGGGTTGCGCAAGTAGCTGCGGGGTGGTTTTCGCCGCAATCTTGCGACGGGCTGTCTGCATATTGGGGACAGGGGCTGGCTTCACAAAAGCACTGTCACCGGTGCCCCCAGTTCCAGAACCTGTCACAGGGTTTATCTTGGTTTCNNGTGGTTTAGGGTTTGGGGTTTGGAGCTTATAAACATAGAGTTGGGGGAGATCCTAGAAGCCCTGTAGGCCAAAGGCAAGCCCAGAGTCCAGAAGTAGCAATATAAAAACATAGCAACGCTACTATGTTTGTACCCTTCATTAAACATAGTCAAGACATCCCACAGTCTTAAAGCATTGATGACAATTATCTTTGGGGGCACCATAGGCATCCCTTTGGGATCACTTTGGAGTCGCTTGGTATATTTCGAGTATAATAATATTTTAGCACTATTCACCTTTAGGTTTACGAATTCCTAGGAGTGCTCTAAAGGGCTTCGGACTTATCGGAGTTATTGTGTCAAGCGAAACTAATTGCAATTGCTCTTATAAGCACAGGTGCAAGCTGATGGGTTCCAGGGCCCAAATTGAAAGTGCCCTGTTCTAAGTCCTAACAATATTATTATTCTATAACTGTAGTCTTGAAGGGTGGTTTAGGGTTTTAGGTTTGCGGGTGTGTGGGCCCAAGACCCTTGGCAGATTAAACTTCATGGAAGACAAACCGAAACCCCAAACCCCAACGTGTGTCAAACACAACCATCGATCCATAGCCCTTGTCCTGCCTGAAAGAGGAACACCAGCAGCTCGCAGCGCTTTCTGGACCTCCTTCTCGACAAAGTCGGTGGACTTCCTGGACCCCTGGCACAGATAGTTTGGCAAGGGGTTCATTGTGGGCCGTTGGGTTGCGAGCCTGGGTGTGCTGTCCCGCAGGGTTCTGAGCAGCCATGGGTCGAGCCAATCAGGAATAACGCAGAATAACGCCNNCCAAGATGGTCCCACACAGCACTTTTAACGCCCAATATCGCTCAATATCGGCTGCACCGTGGTAGAGACCCAGCCAGAAACCACCAGGAGTGGCCCCAATAACGCAGAATAACGCCTAATATCGCCTAAGTTTGTCCCAGAGACCACTTTTAACGCAGAATATCGCTGAATATCGCCTGTGTTGTGGCTGAAATCCACCCAGCAACCTTCAGGAAGGGCCCCGAAAACCCCGAATAACGCAGAATAACGGCTAATAACGCCCCAGTTTGTCCCCCAGAGCACTTCTAACGCACAATATCGCCCAATATCGCCCCCTAGTTGGCAGCACATATATACCAGCTTGGTACTCATGTCTGGCTTCGAGAAATTCATCTACTATGTCTACATATATGACATAGCACATGTACAGACTAGTCCGAGCAGTGATGCTGCAGAAGTTTCGGCAACTATCCTCGATCCACACTGGACATGGTACACATGTACACTTGCACAACAGCCTCACCATGCAGAAAGGTACAGATGTTTTCCTGCAGAGCAGTCTCGGCATTCGATTGTCAAGGAGGCTGGCCATGAATGTAGCACTCAAAACAAAGTCGTTCTTGATAAGAGAACATTCCCAAAGGGTCTAAGTACTCATATGGCAGATACTTTGGGGCCCAAAATATCTA